ACAACATGTCAGTTCAAAGGACAGTCACAGCGCCAGATAAATCATTAGATGTTCTGGGTTGAAGACATCACTGACTAGGATCTGTCTGGGATGGATTACACCCATTTCTACGTCCACATGTGTCAGCAAGTTTGACATGACTTCTCATGGCGTGCTTTGTAACGAAAATAATTTAGGTACAGGTCGCAAATACCTGAGTGTACTGATACTATACATATACTTGAATAGACACTCAACTATATAACTTTTTGACTAATTTTTTATCAATGTTGATGCAAATGTGTTATTTCTGAAAATTAAGTACTAGAAAACGATGGAAACATTAGTCAGCACCATCTTTGAGCCATCCTCTTGAATGCACAGGTCCTCTGCATAAAGATACATGAAGTCTAAAGAAACATTCTGTTTATTTTTGTTTCTGTCAACATAATTTGAAGACCACGGGTTACTTTTAGCGCTAGTGTACAAGTAACGTCACTTACTTGATTCAACTTATGCTGACTCAACACTGAAGCCTGAAAGAATTTGATGGACATCTGGACCGAAATCCTATGTCTCCCATGGACTATATCCCCATATTACCTGGTAATATTCTAGGTTATTATATCATAACAAACTTTGATAGCCTTTTCGGCCTTGTTCATTCATTTATTGCAAACTAAAGTCGAGCCCAAACTCACCTCAACAAAATTGTTTCAAAACACGCCGCCATGTTGGTTCTGTTCGACCTTTAACCTTTAGGTCATGTTGAGGTCACAAAGATGGCTGCCCCCTTCCAGAGATGTGCCTGCCGGATTGTATTCAGATCTCGGATAAGTCGAGAACAAAGGGACGCAAGGTGAGTTTTAGATCGTTGTTAGATGTGTGAGGACACTTTTCATCTGCCAGATTAGTCTATATTTCGTCTGGATGTAATGTGTTTACGTGACGATGTATTTACCGACGTATTGGGGAGGGGGGAACCAGAATTTTTATGTCTCGCTTGCAGGTCCGATTAGTTAGGGAATAATCAGTGTGTTGTAGCAGGTTGTACTGTATACCACTTCTATAGAGTTAGGTAAACTATACAAGTTTCAATTTGTTTTATTAAAAAGTTAGGTAATTTTACCATGTGCATAGCAACCATTCCAAGTATTTTTGACTCAAGTGAACACAGAGAATCAGTCTTTTTTTATGGAGAGATATTATTGACAACATTAGTGAGAAATTTTTTTACATGCCATTTTATCTATTATCATTCATCCATTGTAGGGACAAACTTGCAGTTTTGAAGGCACTTTCAACCACAGTCAAAAGGGTGAGTTTATTTGATGATGAAAACAAAATGAGTATTATTCTTTTTTAAGAGTTTACATAATGCAAGGCCAAAAGATTGCCTCTAGGCACTGAACTACAAGTAAATCGTTTGGAGGTACATGTATAGGTTACTATGCTAGGAGATGGTGGCGATCTAGTACAATGTAATACAAATGTACTAGTTGTTGACTTGACTTGATGTGTACACTTAAGTTGATCAAGTTGTTTTATTTTCTCCAACACCTCAGGATCCCACTTCTGTGGACTACAATTTCATTGATGATCCCTACTTGATTCCAAAAACAACCATGCAGTATGTAAGTACATGTACTGGTACTTAGTATTTAAGATTTAGGTTAGAAAAAAAATATTCCAGAATGAATCTTTGGTACACTGTAGCAGCGCCACCTAGCAGCTAATGTGTAAACTTCACATCTTTCAGAAATGGTTTTCTCTAGCAAAGGAGTCTGGACAGAAAGCAGCTGAGTTCTTCATCAACATAAATCCACAGTTCTTTCAGCAGGAATTAGTTGAACCTTCCATAGAGGTAAATATGAGCCATTTCTTTGAGCTTTTAACATTTAATCTTAATAAAGATTAAATCTGTTGTAAATATGGAAATGTCCCTGTGACATTTTGGTGCAGTTATGTGGTAGATTATGGACCAGCCCGGCTCTTTTCATCAGCTATGATAGCAGCCATGTTCTCCTTTTGAGATAAGCGGACCCATATTATAAACAGGATGTGAAGCTGAAGTTTATTTATTTTTGATCTTACTCCTATTCTTATCAGAACACAGTGTGTACAAAACAGACCCACTGTTGCAATTTTCCTGCCAATTCTAGTGGTCACTACCAGTAGAAACATGATTCTGTCAGTCTATACGTTTGTGTAATTTGCAGAGCTTATCAGTACATATTTTGGTCTCATTCTGCAGGTAAAGCACTTTCTCATCTTATACTTACATACCTGTAGTCTTTGAAAGGTAGATTTAGTCTCTTGGTATGTTTGTTGGCATTTAGCAGTAGATCCCAATTATGTATACGTTGCACAACTGTTGTGCAATAGAGTTTATTTATTTCAAAGTTACAATCCGATTCAAGCTGACAGTAAGCTATTCTACTTCAGGATATTAAAAGAAGGGCAATTATTCTATACATGTATGTGCAGTGTGTGTGTATGGGGTTGGGGGAGGGGGGCAGTGTGTTTGGGAAATACACCTCACTCCTATTAAGTTTTACAAAATTAGTGTAACTTTATCAGATGTGACATTTGCAATGATAAAACAAAACAAAAAATGACTTGTTCTGGAATGTTTATTTACTACTGACAAAAACCACTCATTAAAAAGGATGCACCCACAGATGAGTATTCTACAAGTAACAAACATCTGTCATGTTATTACAAAAAGGACAGTTATCCTATGTGCAGTACATGTATGTATGTGTACACTGGGTCAGTGTGCATGGGAAATACGTTCAAATACCCCTTGCTGTTAGTCTTATTAGGCCCTACAAAAAGTGTATTACGTGTGCAAGTTACTATTCTACAATGGGACAGACTAAATAACACTGCAGCAACTGTTCTTGTCCTTGTATCTCACTATAATGGTAGATGTTTTTTTCAACTACAATCCCTACTGTTAGCCTGGGTACTACCATCCTGGTTTACGTTCCCTCCCACAGTCGCTCCCACCATGAGGAGCGACTGTGGGAGCGGATGTAAACTAACCAGGATGGTACCCGGGCTACCCTACTGTATCCACTCATACTAAATTGCACTCATCATATTATTTTTGGGTCAACTTCAATGTCATTTTATTGTATAATATTATATTATATATTAAGTGCTAATTGTACCTATTACAGGTCAGAGTTACATGTAGCAGCCGCCATAACGATGGGTCGTGTGTGTAAGCGAGCTGTGGTCTGCCTCCTTCTCCTTACTCTGCTGATTCTGTACTTACTGCCGTGGTCCTGGTCAGGCTCTCTGGAGTCTGTTAGTGCCTTCTTCAACTATGACGATGAAATGTTGGGTCAGGAAAGACAAGGAAAAGTCAAAGAGTCCAGATCCAATCCGGATGTTGTGACTGTGGCAGGGTTGGGACAGAGGAGGTTGTGCCCGCTGGGAAGTTTTCGACTGTCCACGATGGAAACTTGTATGCCATGGCTTGGCTGCAAAGAGATAACTAATGAGGTGACCACTAAGATCAACATCGGATCAGGGGCTGTGAAGAAGGTAACGGTAATGTTTCCAATTGATTATGCACCTATTCTTTCACTGTTAGACCCTGTTGTAGGTGATTGTACAGGTAGAATGTATGTCAATTAGCTAATTCTAGTAGTAGGGGCACAGCTAGCATAAATAAACATACATATATGTTACACTACAGGTTATTTCCCAGATTAAAATTTTTCCGTTTATTTTAGATTATAATACTGTGTGAGGTGCCCAATTCAGGAAACCAGCAATGACTTGTGTTTTCCGATTTCTGTCAGAACAATTTTCATATGACAATAATATATACTAAATAGAGTAGAGTAGAGTTGATTCATGCCGGGTAGGAGTCCTGCTCCAATTTGGGCCGCTCTTCAGTTTACTGACATCTCTGGACGTAGTGGGTGGTCCAAAGCTCTATAATTGTAGACGACCGGGTGTGTTACCATGTACTCGTCAAACCTCTTCTTGAAACTGCTTACACTAGGCGCCATAACTACCTCCCCAGGAAGCTCATTCCACCAGCTTGCCGTTCTATTTGTAAAGAAGTGTAGGCGCATATTTGTTTTTGCCTGCGTCCTCTTTATTTTCAGGTGATGACCTCTAGTTCTCTTCTCTGTTGTTATTGGTAGTAGACATGCAGTATTGTACATCCCGTGTGTGTATTTATAAACGTTGATCATGTCACCCCTCAATCTCCTGTAGACCAGGGTAGGTAGTTTTAGTTTCTTGAGCCTATCTGTGTATGAAAGATCCTGCAGGCCTGGTACTCTTTTTGTCGCTCGCTTCTGTACTTTCTCTAGTTCTGTAGCGAGTTTCCAAGTATGTGGGGACCAAATGGGGGCTCCGTACTCTAAGTGAGGACGGATGATGGTCTTGTAAAGAGTGAGAAACATTTCTAGGTCCATGTGTACAAATGTTCTCCATGTTAGTCCCATTATTTGGTTTGCTTTTTTTACAATAGTTGTTATATGATTGGCAAAGCCCAAGTCTCTGTCTACTAGGATTCCCAGGTCTTTCTCTTCTGAGGAAACTTTCAGGGATATAGGTAAGGGGTTGTTGTTTTCGGACATGTTGTAAGTGAAGTTCGGGTGGCCACTACCAACCCTCAGGACCGTACATTTATCAGGGTGGAATTTGAGCTGCCACTTGTCGGCCCATTTTTGTAGATTAGTCAG